CCCCCCCCCCCCCCCCCAACAGGTAAGTGTGTGTGGAGGAAGGGAAGGGCCTGGGGGGGGGCAGATCTAGAATGGGGGGGAGTTTGTGTCTGTGCCTGCTCCCAGGAGCAGGGCCGGGGGGGCAAGGGAAGTGGTGCCCCTCTGCAGGCCACATACAAGCTGCCTGACTGCTGAGGGGGTGGGCCTCATATGTGGCCGCTGCCACTGCCACCACCACCACCCGCAGCTGCTGCGCCCCATGCCGCTTGCCTGTGGAGCCATGTGGCTGACCTCCAGAAGACAGCACAGGGCGTGGCAGTGGTGATTGCAGTGAGGTGGCAGTGGCTCCGCAGGCAAGCAGCGCAGAGCAGCAGTGCCCTTCTGTGGGCCGCACACAAGCCACCCAGCCAGCTGGCTGTGGGGGGAGTGGGGCTAACATGCAGCAACTGCCACCACAACACTGCTGCCACACTGCCTTCCCATGGCTGGCTGCATGGCTCTGTGGGCACGGCTCCACAGCCCTACGGCTCCGCAGGCAAGTGGCATGGTGCACAACAGTGTCAATGTAGTGGTGCCCGCCCAGGCGGCCTGTGTGTGGCCCACAGAGGAGCACCGCTGCCCTGCGCCCATTGCCCGCAGAGCCGTGTGGCCATGGACCTATGCCCACGGAGCCATGTAACTGACTCCGGGAAGGCAGTGCAGGGCATGGCAGTGGTGGTGCAGTGGCAGCTGCCATGTGGGGGACCCCACTCTCCCCTCCCTGGCATTGCCTTACCCACCACTGCTGCTGTGCCCCCCACTGCCTTTCCATGGCTGGCCACACAGATCTGCAGGCACAGCTCCATGGCTGCACAGCTCTGCAGGCAAGTGGCATGGCAGCAGTGGGCAGGGTGGTGGCGGCCATTCCAGGGCCACTCTGGTTCCACGCGCTGCCAGCCAGGTGGCTGCTCCAGGGCTTTCCCCAACACCTCCCCGCTCCCTGCTGGAGTGTCTGGCTGGCTGCACATGGACTGCGAGCGGAGCTATCGGTCCTTAAAGGAAGCTGCATGTGGAGGTGCCGAGCTCAGTCAGGCCAATAATACCCCTGGCAGTCCATGTGCAGCCTCCTGGGCACTCCAGGGCTTCCCCCAACACCTCCCCACTCCCTCAGCCCCCAGCCAGCTCCTCACAGCCAGTTCAGCCCCCAGCCAGCTTCCCCCCCAGCCCTGCCCTGCAACTCCCCAGCCCCATGCAAGCCCCACTTACCCAACCCTGCAGGCTCGAGAAGGAAGGTAAGCCTGAGCCAAACCTTGGGACTGACTAAACGTCTCAGGCCCTGCCCTCTCCTCCCCCTCCAGACAGGGCTGGGAGTTTCCCACCCTTTTTGCAATCAGTTCTTGCAGGCTGGAGCTCTGCCAGCCTGCAGAGCTCTCTGCAAAAGAGGGAATCTGCCACTTTCTGTGCTAAAAGGAAAAAAAACTGCATTTTCTCTGATAAAAATGGGAAATCCATGGTTTTCTCCATTTTCCCGTGGGAAATGGAAAACCTGGATCCCTGCAGTCATGGCCAGAGACACGGAACAGCTGATATGGGATTCAGGCTGTAAAGAATTAAAGAGTGACAGGTTAATGAAGACCAGTCAAAATGTCTCTGTGGGACACAGGTCTTGTCAAATAACTTTGTACTATGTTTTGATGTGCCCATAAATGTGGTTGGTTCAGGTGATCATGATGATAGGAACCCAGCTTCCTCTGAACCTCACATTATTCCCTAGAATTAATCTGTCCTCACTGGCATTTTCCTTCCCACTAATCTGTGTGTCACCCAGTCACTTTTTTGGCAATAATTTTATAATATCTGTCAGATCTCTGATAAAGATATTGCACAGATAACTTTAGATATCAGAGAACATATAGATCCTGTGAGGATCCCCGCTTAAACTCTTCTTCTGGTTGATGAGCCCCAAGTTACATGTGCTTTTTGAGACCACCAGCTAGGATATTTTAAATAATTTCAGATAAACTAGTGATTTGGAGGAGGAATGGTAAGAACACTCTGAACATCAGTCCTTTGAAGGCCTTGCCCTCAAAACTTGATTTTCATCCACCATAGGACCACAAAACTACAATGAAAGTCAACTGAAGACACCAGACAACAATTCCAAAAGGCATTAACCAGACACAAAATAAGATATTTCCTTCCGTTCCTTTCTTTTTATATGCCACCCTCAGAGGCTATGTGACCAGTTGGGACTTTTTACAGACTACAATACTTCTTCTACCTTTCCACGATGCAACACTGATTTTTGTATTGTGCTAGTCTTTTTTAATCAGAATGTTATACAGAACTGAGTCAAGTAGCTTACTGATGCGTAGGTGTATTTGAGGGCCATGTCTGAATATAGCCACTGCAAGAGTCAGACATCTAGGAACAAAGAAAGTAGGTCAGTGCTTACAAGATAGGGAACTGTGTCCTAGAAAGCAGTGACTCATAAACAGACTCAGAGGTCATGCTGGAAATCAACTGCATGTGAACATGCCATGTGCTGTGGTGGCTAGGAAAACCAATGTGATCCTCAAATCTGTAGGCAGGGAAATGTGAGGAAGGAACAGGGGGAGCAGACGTAAGTGACAATTTTTGCCAGATCTGGCTGTAGGAAGCAGTTTATAGCCATGACTAAACATAAGTGCATGGATGCAGACAGCTTCAAAAATGGCCAATTGGGTGAAAATCTGAAATCTCACTGCATGAGAGGTCAGATGAAGACGTTTCAAAACAGAGCAGCTTCTGTAACTTCTGTCTGTGCTGCCTGCCAGCCTCAAGCTGTTTTCAGAATGGGAGGGGGGAAAGGGAGAGGAGAGAGTTTGCTCTGGCGTTTTTTTAGCCCCTGCTAAAGTATATTGGCGAGTGTATTGGAGACCTCTGTCCGAGGTGGGGGGACTCTGGTTCACCCATCCCACCCTCCAGTGCTGGCTGGGGAACCCCTAGAAGGAGCTCCCTCTGCTCCCTTTCCCCCCTCCCATTCTGAAACAGGGACAGGCTGGCAGGGAGAAGGGGCTGTTGCTAAGGCAAACCAGCAGCAGGCTCCCAGCCAGCAGCTAGATTCCTCTCTCTCCTGGAGCCAACAGTGAACTTCTGTTTGTTCCAGGGGATCCTTGTAACTCTGAATATTTCCTGCAAAGCATTCTTAGTTACAGCATGGAGCTGCACTTCCATCACACCCCCTGGTGGCAGTATATTACTACTGTTCAAGGCACAAGAAAAACCGTTTTTACCTGTTGGGTCTGATCTGGTGTCTACACTTTTGAAAGCATGCAGACACATTGATAGGGGCTCAGAGAAGATCTGCAAGAAAGACCTGTGGCCATAAGCCTACCTGGCAGTTAGCAACTAAAGGAGCTCTATTTAATTTCTTCAATGAAAGAAGCTTGATCACACCTTGAAAGCACCTACATGCAACAAAGACTGCTGAGAGGAAGAGGGCTTTCTAACCCAATAGAGAAAGCCAGAACAAAAGCTGATAGCCAGGAGCTGAAACAAGAAAATTTAAAACTAGAATTACAGTACAAATTAGGAACAGTGAGGGAAATTAGCTATTGCAACACTTGACCCAGAAACAGAGTGCATTCCTCCTCATTCGGAGTTTTTTAGTGATAACCAGGGGTCCTGGTTTTCTCTGTTTAAAAATCCAAAACTCTCTGATTAATGCCCCCGCAAATCTGCATTTTTGTCATGATTAAAATGAAAGGCCACTATATATATCAATATAACACTATATCAATAGAACATTTCGGTCATCTGTGTGTGTGTGTGTGTACCCGATGATCACAATGTTTTATTGATATATTTACAATTTTAAAGCAAATTGGAGGCCTACCAGTGCCTCAGTCACTATAATAAAATACAGCCTAAATACCTATATATTTTGGTATTTGATTTTGGTTTTTTTATCATAGAAAATCAGAGCTGTCTCTGCCCCCTTTGCTCACAGGACATGGGTCCAGCTGCGGCTGTTCCCACAGCTGCTTTGTGGCACTGAGCAGCGCTTATATGCAGGTGTCCTGCCCCTGCCCGTGCGATTGCCCCTCACTCCCAACACACAGCTGTCCCCGCCCTGCCAGTGCCTGTGACTCTTGACCCGCAGTCCCTGCCTGCCCCCCACACACTCCCTCCTAGCAGCAGCTCCCCTCCCTGCACCATGCCACGGATCCAGTTTCAGCTGTCCTGCCTGCTGCTTTGTGGCTCTGAGCAGTGCCAGCCCCTGATGTTCTGTTCCCCACACCTGTGCCCAGACCCCAGCAGGCCCCATGCACTTCCTAGCAAACCCTTGACTGGGGCTCAGGGCCTGGGCTGGGCAAGCCTCTTCCCTTCCAGGCCAGCCTCCTCCTGCCCAGGCTGCTTTAGTGGGCCAGCAGGCTCCAGGCCTGGCTCTGAAAGCCGCTTCTACCTGGAGCGTTCCCCTGCCAGCTCTCTTCCCCACTGCCCCTGTTGCCACCCCTGACCCATCACACACACACACACAGACCCTACTGCCACTTCCTCCCCTCCCCCCGGCCCATCATGACCCCCCTGAGTGGTTCCTGGGACCAGGAGCCCTCCAGGGGCCAGCAAGGTCCTGTGCTGGCAGGGCAGCATGTGGGCTAGTTGTGCTGCTCATCCCCTCCTCTCCCCTCCTCTCCTTGCACCTTGCCACAGTGGGACCCCAGCCACTGCTTCCAGTGCTAGCCTTAGTAGAGCTGCCAGTAGCCACTGCAGCCACAGCCGCAG